TCGTCGAATAGAAAACAGGAATCCCCAGCAAAGACATTCTAAAAAAATTGAGAAACTATTGTCTTCATCCCCAATAATAGTCATATGTTTACTTTCCCTAGCCAACACTGCTATACAAAGCTACCGCTTCCATCAGCGACATCTTGCATTCGTGCATCATTTACAAAATATCATAGCATATGCATACAAAATGTATATAGTATTCTCATGTATTTTTATAGCATCATTATGTAATGCTTTACATACATCATGATATTGCATAAAACTAACTTTTCTTTTTTCAGGTTAGTTCACAAACAGATAAACATTGTCAACAGTTTACCATACTTCAGATACAATCAGTTGACGATTCATTTTGATAATCCTTTGGATACAATCAGTAGTAGACTCATTCTGGTACATCTTCCAGATACAATTCAGATACGATCAGGATATAAATCCATTATGGTAATCATTTCAGTACATCTTCCAGATACAATTCAGATACGATCAAGACATAGATCCATTCTGATATTCATTCGGGTATATCTTTTAGATACAGTCAAGCGTAGACTCATTCTAATACGGGTCTCAGATACAGTCGGGCGAAGACTCATTCTGATTCTCTCATAGATACAGTCAAGACATAGACTCATTCTAGAACATAATTCAAATATAATTGATACATAAGATTCATTATAACACTCCCTAGCATATATGCTAGATACAGCCAGACACAGACTCATTCTAGTATACTTCTCAGATACCATCGAACATAGACTCATTCTGATATTCTTATCAATAGTTACTTTGGATGACATTTATAAGCCCATCCACGATGACACTCTATCACCTCTCTAAATGACATAATTAAGCCCATTCAAGCAATACAATCAACCAACAACGTTACATTGTGCATATGTGAGTGCAAATTCCCAGGAATTTAAGTATGCAATCCTCTTCCACCTTCAGATCACGAATGGAGAGCATGCCAATCTAACTCTTCAGGTTTAAGAAGATTTAACATGGGTAGCTGTTGTACCCTAAAATTTTCCCTCCCATTATTCAAGACATGCTCCTAGGGTTATCAATTACTCAAGATTACTCAAGGATTGGCCAGACAAACACTCCTCCTAAGCAGTTGACCTACAATAAGGGTTTTGCTTCCCTCGAGGAAAATTGGACTTCTAATGCCTCAAGTGGATTTCAAGGTTTCTCATATGTCTCAAAGAATCCTCATGCCAAATTCCAAGCCTTGCAGCACAAGTTTGCTCAGTCAATTAGTCAGATGATTAAAAACCAATTGTATTGGGCAAAAAGTCAACTTTGACCAATTTACAATAAAACTTCAAGATTTTTGGTCAACATCAACATTTTAAAGTCACATTCATCATTTTATCAAGGGTTGATCATGATTCATCAAGAAAACTCAAGATTCATCAAAAGTCAAAAGTTACTATTAGGGTTTTCTTAAGGAGAAGTCAACTGAACTTTGACCAAACATAAATTTCACACACTTCATCAGAAATTTCTCAACCAAAACACATTTAGAAGGAAATTCAATTCTCTACAACGTTGCCTCTTCAAGCTAAAGGCCAAAAATGCTTCATTTAAGAGATATGGGCCAAAACATTACAGGTCATTTTAAAAGTCAACAAAAAGACAGTTTTTGTCAAAGCAATTTACACCAAGATAGATTATTCAAATGAAAAAATGACCAACATGAATATTATAGGGAACATCTTGAGCTTTCAAAAAATTCCAAGATCACCTTCATATAACAAAAATTGAGTGAGATATGAGTTGTGCAAGTTGGACATTTTTGAGGAAATGCATGAAATCCAAATTAAGCAAATTTGAATTTTTGGACTAATGGGCCTATCTTTTAAGGTCCAAATGTGTTCCTGGCCTCATAAGAGACTCCTAAGTCCATTAATTTATTTTTTATCTTTATTTCTTTTAATTTTGATTTTATTCATTAAATTTAAAATTAAATCAAATAAATATCAAATAAATAGATAACGTATAAAAGGCTTGAGATTTGATTTGTTTGGGGGCCCAAGATCATACAAAAACTGTGTGGAATTATTTTGTGAAATAAATCTTCATGTTTTGCAAGATTTTTATCTATTTTTCAAACAAAATCAAAGATAGGTTACATGATGTCCAAGCCCATATCTTTTAACCTAATCTCTTCCTATATATATGCTCATCATCTTCGGACCAAAGGACCACGAAAGATTGCTCAAGAAACAAGGGTTTGGAGTTGAAATTTACAAAGAAAAGAGAGAAATCAAAATTGTTTTACCAGCTATCCTCAAGGCCAAGCAATCATCCAAATCGATTCCTGAGACATCATAGAGTAAGTTGGGATCATTCTTGATGATCAAAAGTGCATGAAACACACATCTATGCATCGCTAGTTTCATGTTTTTGTTCAAATTCGTATTTTAATTTTTGCGATGTTTTAATGTGAACTAACGTTTCTGATGTGTTCCTGAGATGTAACAATGCAGGTTTGATCCCTTGTATGAGTCCCATAATATCAGGATTGCACGTCATCATTGTTATACCGGTTTGCTTTATTTTCCTCGTATCTCTTTGCGCAAGACGATTTAGGAAAAACTAAGGCCACTATTGAATTCGCAAGGGTCAATTTAGTGGGTAGGGTTCTTTTTTATCACTAACAGTGTTGTTTTTGCAGGTGAAGAAAACATCTCACCGGAGAAGACAATCGGAGCTAGGGCTCCGGCGCCTCTCCGGTCCAGTTTTATATTATATTTAATTGTTTAATTATATGAACGGATGAGAGCGTAGCACCGCTGGTCAAGGCGAAGGCGTATGAACATGAGGGTGTGAGTTCGATCCCTGCCTTTTGCAAATACTTTTGTTATTTTCCATCTAACATGCAAGCTTCCTATATAATATGCAGCGCCAGTTTCCAAACACAAGCGAGCGCTTGGCCTGGTGGTAAACAATGCAGTGAGAAGGCCAAGAGGGCGTGGATTCAACACCCACCCCATGCAATCTTTTTCCTTCTATTTTGTTTAACCTAACTTTCTTTTCTTTTTCTTTTCTAACCCTAATAATTTATTTTTAATTAATCATTAACCTAACTTTTTTTACTAATAAATTAGGATTAGAATTTTTAATTAACATTTAATTTTCTTGATAATTAATTAATTAGCCTTTTTTAATATTAAAATCAATTAGAATTTAGGTTTTCATTAATTATTATCATCTAAATTATTTTCCATACAAAATCACAAAAACATTTCAACATTTTCTTTTCTATTTTCTATTTTCTTTTTCCTTCATTATTTTTCCTAGATCAAGTGTATAGGACGCTTCCTCAAATGTAAATAGCTTAGATTTACTTTTCTCGCGATTTTTTCCTAATTATGTAACTGCTCACAGGATGTAATAACTTAGGGCTACCTACTAACTAATGGTACGAATAGCGCTATCTCTAAGGGAGAACGGAAAGAATAAGAAAGACTTTAGTGAGTAAGAAACTCTTAACTGCTTGCTCACAAACAAAACATTTTCTCACACCACACTTTCAAAACAATAAATATTTGACGAAATACTTTGTATACATTCTTGAGGACTGATGCAAGAATTATTACAAAGTCAGTCTTACATTGATATTTCAAAATATTTTCAAACAAATTACACACAAAGCAAGTTTTCAAAAGTGAGCTAAGTAATTAAGAGTCCGTAGATAACTATGGGTGAAAAGGGTGCTAACACCTTTCCTTTTCATCTCATCGCAGTAAAGAGGGTGTTGAGGTACATAAAGGGAACAATAGATCATGGTGCGATGTTGCCAAAGAAGTCAAAAACAGTACAAATGTCGAAGTTCATGGATACACTGACTCAGATATCAGTGGAGATCAATACGAAAAGAAAAATACTGCAGACTACATTTTCATGATCAAAGGTGCTCCAATCTCTTGGAGTTCGAGGAAGCATAGCATTGTGGCTTTGACATCATGCGAAACAGAATATGTGGCTGCATCATATGCTGCATTCCAAGCAGCCTGGATTGAAATGTTACTTGTGGAATTCAAGATAATGGAACCTTAGAAGATAAAGTTGTTTGTCGACAACAAATAAGTTATTAACCTGGTGAATCACTCAGTGTTCATGGTCGAAGTAAGCACATAGAAAGGAGGTGTCATTTTTTGAGGGATCAAGTCAATAAAGGGAAGTTGGAGATAAAGCACTACAAGACAGAAGTGCAACTAGGTGACATATTTACCAAACCTTTGAAGAAAGTCAGATTCGACGAGTTAAAGAGGAACATTGAGATGAGAAGTCTCGAGAACATGAATTAGGAGAGTGTTATAACTATAATTCTTGTTCTGTCAAAATGTCGGAATAGCTTGTTGTATAGGTTGTAAGTAGTATTCGACAAAGTCGAATACAACAGCTATTGAAGTATGTCGAAATCATGTTTTGGACTATAGCATGTATTGTCGTATTAGGCATGGACATTGTATGCCTATATAAACGGCTGATTAGTTTGTAATTTTACACACACATTCAATGCAATTACAATTCATTTAGAATCATAACAAACTTTCAATCTCTCTCTCCCTTCTTCTTCCTCTTCCATAAATCATCTTTCTCGAAAATCCTTTATTCCAACAAATTCTACCTATGGAACGATGAAACATATCAAGTTCAACCCCAAAGAAAGAAACATGGTGCGTGGACCTAATGGTTGGGTCTAATCTATTAAATGAGACATTGGTGCTAGTCTTAGCTGCTCTGCAATACAAATAATACAAATGGGTAAGATTCTACAAACACTGAAAACAAAAGAACAGAGGGAAAATCCAAGAAGAATGACAAAAAAGTACACACTTCAGTCCCCTCACATCATACTGTTAAGAAACCTATTGTGATGTGAGTGCTCCTTCTTGGCTCCTTGATAGTTGGATAAGCTGCTTCCACCAGGCCAGATTCTCAAAGAAAAATAATATTGTCCAGGAGTCTCATATAAATAGCAATATCTATATGAGTTTCTTCTTTCGAAAGTAGCTCTGTAGATACCAAAGTTGCAATGCTGAAACAGAAATGCAGAGACCAAGAGACATGATACTAAACCATGCCACTTTAGCATTTGTTTTTTCACTCACTTCCCTCACCTTTGCTTCCCTGTGGCAAAAAGTCCAACAAAAATAAGTATAATAGTTACTAGCAGCCATTGTGATTTGTGAAGGACTTGACACAATATAATGATTTTTGTTTCGGAGCATTAGGATAACACTCCTTTTTAGCAGGCTGGATTCTCAAGCAACGTGAGATTATTTTGGTGTACCGAAACAGATGTAATGAAACTAAAACTAATTTATTGAATTAATATCACAGTTTAAAAGTAAGAGTAAAAAACTTACTTATCCTTCAAGTTAGTTAGATATTGGTGAATGGCACCCACTAGTAATTCAACCTTCATGAGTTCAAGTTCAAGACCCTTAAACCATACGAAAAGAACAAACAGATTAATAAACATTAATAAAAAAAAATGAAATATAAATGGAGATTTGTATTCACGTCAATCTTTTGTTTCTTTGCAACAGAGTCCCAATCCTTGGCTGCAATTCCTGTTTTCCAGTCAAGGTTGACATTTGGAGTTGCACCTTCTTGTTGATTTCCACTCAACCAAAAGCACACAAGATACTTTCCACTTTCGGTCGTTGTAAATGCAAAATGGTCATGTGTAACATTTTCAGTATGGTGAAGGTTGTTTCCATAAGGAGAAGTTACCTGCACAAATATAGCAAAATAGCAATTGAATCCTTTAAATAGTCTCTCCGAAAACAAACATGCTTTCTACAATTCAACAATAGTTAAGTCGACTTGTTTTTAAATGGAAATAGATAATTGAATTGTGTGAAGATACAGATACCTGGGCGGAAATTCTATGAGCCTTATAACCTTGTTCAACTACAGAATAGTAATCACCTAAAACGACGACGTGTGTTTTAATATCTTCATACACACACTTTGTTCCTGAACTGGGAAGTTTTATCCACAGAGCTTCTGTTTTAAGAGAGACAGTTGTTAAGCACAGTAACAATACTAGAAGACTGATTTCACTACCGTCTCTTAACTTCATAGCTTCAGCTTCGAATAAAACACAGTGGGTGTGTCTTTTTAGATCTAACTTTCTTGAGAAAATGCAACTCAATTTGTTGCAGTGTTGTGTCTTGCTATTTGTGGAGGTAAATTGTTTATTTTTTATTTTATGGGTGTGGTAGGTTCATTCATAAATGAAGTACTACTTGAACAACGGGGGCGTGCTGACGCATCTTCAGCCTACATGGCGTGGCCTCGACCAATGGCATTGAGGATATAGATGTGGTATCATGATGATAAGGCATATCACCCAATTGATTTTACCTATTATAAATACATAAAGAAATACTGATTTTTTTTTTGAATAACTATGTATTAAAAAAAGTTTTTGCAAAAAATTACGTTTCGGAAAAAATTACGCAAATAATCATGTTTCAGATGACTCTCCAAAGGAGGAGCCATCTCACTTGGCGCCTACACCCATTATTTAAGGGGAGAAGCCATCTCACTTGGCGCCTAGGTGCTTAGGGTATGCCCTAAGCCAAGTGAGATGACGTCTTAGTGCAATTCTAGGGCAAATTTCGTTTTTTTTTCCAGTCTGGTGTGTTGCGTATTCGATACAGGATCAACAAAATTGACTTTTTATTTTAAAAAAATGATTACACCCATATGTATTACATTAAAAAAACAGATAAAAAAAAAACAGATAAATCAGTGATCCCCCGGAACCCGGTAATGACCCCCGGTTCCGCATCCCCGTCCTCGCCTTTCCCATGCTGGGTGTCGTCGTGTTTCCTGCTGTGGCAGGATCGATGGCCCAACGAAGTCAATGCGTTCCGGATCCATGAAATCAGTCAGATCTCCATATCTAGAAGATCCGCTTTAGTACAGTCGGTTACTCATATCCTCAAAGTTTGGTCGTGTTGGCGGTGGGTGGGATTCCATAGTGGGTATGTAGCATTGATCGTCTGAGTACGGGGGGTAGAAAGGAAATGAATCTTGGGGTGTTTGGTATTGAGGATGTTGGGTGGTCTGGTGATACTGTGGTTGATGGTAAGTTGGGTCGGTTGGTTCGTAATCTTCCGATATTCCCAGATCAGGGCTAAGGATGGATGTTGAGGGGCCCATATTGGGATATACAAAAGACTGAAATTGTGTGTGGGGCATGCGGATGTGTTGGTATTGTGATTGGTATTGCGGTTGGGTGTGAGGCATATGGGGGTATTGGTACTGAGGTGGTGATTGTGGTTGGTTGTGGGGCATTTGGGTGTAATTGTGTTGTGGTGGGGACTGTGGTTGGGTGTTTGTGGTTCTGTTTCGCCTGGGGGGTTGGTGGGAGGTTGATGTGTGTTGGGTTTGTTATTGGGGAAACGAGGGTTGTGCCCATTGTGTTCGTGGGTCAACCAAATACCTTGGATGAGACACGTACATTTCAGGGTTACTAACCGACTTGTACCAAGATAAATACTGATTCGTGTGTCGCATATTACCATGATTGAGGAAAACTGAGAATTGCAAGACATGTCAGTGACGCCTCTGCCACATCTTACACCATTCTGGAGCAAAGTCTTTCCAGTTGGTAAGACCCCACTGGGCGTCGACCCTTTTGAGATGCCACGGGGACAAACAAGTCGGATCACTCGGTATCTCTTGATGCATTCCGAACTGCATCTTCACACGGTCGCTGTGGTGCATCTCCACAACATTGAACCGTATGATTGCATTCTTGGCGCTCCAAATTGCTGCATCCTCGGGGTTTGGTTCATGGCCCAAACCCAAATATGGTCTCTAGACAAACTGCGAAAAAAATTAAATCAGGTTAATGAAAACGTAATATATAAATAATTTAAATGAAGAAAAGTTGAAAGGTACGACGTACATCATCTGGGCCTAGGTGATCCAACAGATTACGGTATAGTGCGACATTGAATCTTGGATTCTTGCCGTAATCCATACCCCTCACGCAATACCTAAAGGAAATGAAAAACATTTTATTTTTAGCATATATTTGGTGAAGAGATGAATAGTAATAAATGATATAACTTGATGACTTACTTTGTTGTGTACGGGAAAACGAAAGTGTTGTTGTTGACGGGGTTTAAGGACTCCATCCTCCACCAACCCCGGGCTTGTAGTAAAAAAGTGCAGCCATAAAATGTACATTTTTCCTTGACTGCATTTTTGCACAAGAAACTGTATAGGTGGGCTAAAACTGCAGAACCCCAACTATACTTTCTTGTTTTTTCAAAATCTCTAAGTAAATATAAATACATAAAATTTACACTATTTCCCGTACTTTCAGGAAATAAAAAAGGTTCCAAATAGTATCATTAGATAAGTTCTGGCTTTTACTACCCTGTCTTGCTCGGAGGAATTTTCATTTAATTCCAAACATGCATAATGATTTTTAAGCTCAGTGAGTAGTATACCCTGACCTCTCGCACCACCACCTTCAACCATATCCCTGCCCAATAATTCTTCACACTGAGAATTGGGTTGTTGAACCGACCCGTTAACAGCCTTACCATCGACATGGAGACCTAGTAACATGTACACATCCTCTAGCGTGACAGTACATTCACCTATTGGTAGGTGAAATGTATGGGTCTCTGGTCTCCACCTTTCCAACATTGCAAGAATGAACTTCGAATCAATTGTGCAGTTGGAGATCTTTATAACATGTCTGAAACCTGCGTATTCCAGATATGGTACGATAAATGGGTCGGGAGCCAGGTAGTTGTGAGACCGAATTCTGAATCTTTTGGTATCCTGAGTTAATAATATAAAAGGTGTAAGATTAAGTAAGATGAACAAACCATTACCTGAAGTATAAAAAATGTATAACCAAAATAGAAACTTACAAATGCGGCAATGTTGTCCCTTGTGCCTCTGTGAGAATCACCCATTGTGAGAAGAGCCATTGTTGAAAATGCCTGAGATTATGAAAGACTTAGAAAGTGTAAGAGATTATGAAAGACTTTGTAGCAGAGAGTGAGACGATTGTGGGTGTGAGAGAAGTATGTTATGCTCTGTATTTATAGGCAAAAAAATTTCATAGAGTAAGTGAGGTGGTAGCTAGTGCATGCATGCATGATAAGTGTCACTCTTGCAGAGTAGGCGCAGGCTAGGTGGCAACCTTGGGGGTTACATCTCTGCATGCATGTAAAACGATTGGACATTAAGGGAGGCGCCATTGGACTTGGCAAAAGAGTTCAAAAATTAAAGGTGTATCCATCCCCATTGGCGAATAAGAGGTGTCATGGGTTACAGAGTAGGCGTAGGCTAAGTGACAACCATGGGGATGCCATGCCTGAATGCATGTAACACTATTGGAGGTGATGGGAGGAGACTTACAAGTTACAGTGTAGGTGCAGAGTAGGCGCAGGCTAGGTGGCAGCCTTGGGGGTTACATCTCTGCATGCGTGTAACAAGATTGGACATTAAGGGAGGCGCCACTGGACTTGGCGAAAGAGTACAAAAATGAAAGGTGTCACCATCCCCATTGGCGAATAAGAGGTGTCATGGGTTGCAGAGTAGGCGCAGGCTAGGTGACAGCTTTGGGGATGTCATGCCTGAATGCATGTAACACTATTGGAGGTGATGGGAGGAGACTTACAAGTTACAGTGTAGGTGAAGAGTAGGCGCAGGCTAGGTGGCAGCCTTGGGGGTTACATCTCTGCATGCATGTATCACGATTGGACATTAAGGGAGGCGCCATTGGACTTGGAGAAAGAGTACAAAAATGAAAGGTGTCGCCATCCCCAATGGTGAATAAGAGGTGTCATGGGTTGCAGAGTAGGCGCAAGCTAGGTGACAGCCTTGGAGATGCCATGCCTTAGTGCATGTAACACTATTGGAGGTGATGGGAGGAGACTTACAAGTTACAGTGTAGGTGCAGAGTAGGCGCAGGCTAGGTGGCAGCCTTGGGGGTTACATCTTTGCATGCATGTAACACGATTGGACATTAAGGGAGGCACCATTGGACTTGGCGAAAGAGTTCAAAAATTAAAGGTGTCGCCATCCCATTGGCGAATAAGAGGTGTCATGGGTTGCAGAGTAGGCGCAGGCTAGGTGACAGCCTTGGGGATTCCATGCCTGAATGCATGTAACACTATTGGAGGTGATGGGAGGAAACTTACAAGTTATAGTGTAGGTGAAGAGTAGGCGCATGCTAGGTGGCAGCCTTGGGGGTTACATCCTTACTTAATTCAAATTCAGTATGACCTATTTAGTCTTACATTTATCAAAACACTGATTCACTTAATCTGTCAAACCTTCTAACCTTCAAACCTTCATACAATCAAACCTTCAAACAATCAAACATACAAACCTTCGAATAACTCATAAACTTCAAACATTCCAACCTTCAAACCTTCCAACCTTCAAACCTTCATACAATCAAACCTTCAAACCTTCAAACAATCAAACATACAAACCTTCGAATAACTCATACACTTCAAACATTCCAACCTTCAAACCTTCAAACAACCCTACGCAATGGCCTCTTCACCCCAATATGTCATCAATGCACATTTCAACAGTGAGACATACATTTGTCCCACCTCTGGGTTTTTGTTTAGAGACACAGACAACATCCGATTTCTTTTAAACGGGAAAGCCAATTTCTCGTACTTCAAAAAACGATTGGAGGCCAAACTTGGACGAGGCCCGGTGACACAGATATTTTATCAGAATCTAGTTTTTTTTGGAAATAACTAAATAATATTTTATAAGGTTGAGGTTCAAGATGACGAGGATCTTCATAATATGTTTTCTAGCCATGTGTATTCTGGGTACGACTCTGTTGAGTTGTACATTATGCTACGAGAGCCTCCGGTGACACAAGTGGTTGATCCTTTGGAGAATGAACAAGCAGAGGTAGATGAAGTTGATGAAGAAGAAGAAGATGACGAGTTAGAGTTTGATGAAATGGTGAATTATGATTCCGACGATGATGGCATACCTAGTATTCATGCAAACGAGATCTACACACCACCTCCACACATGACAAACTTCAACATGGGCGGAGATGAACCGTCT